GATTCAGGAGTTTTGAACAAAAAAAACATAAAATAAAAACTAAATAAAAACTAATTTAAAAATAATTAAGAGCACTAAAGAATCCTAATAAAAAAACCATATTTAAAAATACTAAAGGAAATAACCACTATCACTTTCATTGATTTTTTGTTATTTTTTCATTAATTTAGAGAAAACTGATTGGTTAACCTACCAACGTATGTAGAGAGGCGAAAACAATTAATCTATTCATAAAATTGTATCCACTAACTTCTTAGCTAATATTGGATTAAGAATGTTTAAAAAAATATCTTCTGTGAGGCAACTTTGTTTGACTGAAGATAAGTCTTCTTAATTCTAATGTTTTTGAGAGCATACTACTAGATTATGATAAGGAGGCTTAATCACCAAAACAAAGCCTTGAATCTTTGATTTTTCCTTTTTTTTTTTTTTTTTTTAATTTGGCAAAATACTTTTAATTTTTGTCAATCAATGCCCTATATTATTATATATATTATTTTTCATTGTACAATCTCTCAAGGCATCCGTAAAAAGTCCGATTGGATGAGTTTTCCAATTGGATGCGATCAGCAGCCTTCGGCGTACGAAGAAACTTAGTTAGCGTACCCTTGATATGCCAATTATTATACCTTGGATTTATCCGAAATTGCTTACAGACAGAGTCCATATTTTATTTTTTTCAAATTTTGGCAGTGTTAAAGGGGATACTCTAGAAATGATATTCTTTGATATCGCATTATAAAATTATTTGGAAAAATATTCTATTGCTGTAGCTATTGATGAAGATTAATCAGTTAACCATTAATCAGATTAATCTAGTTAACAATTGTAGTTTAATCAAATTAAGCAACAATTAAGTGTTAGATTCTTTGCAAAATTAAGCAAACAGAGGAAATGAGGAACAATTGTTACAACCAGCTTTTTCTATTTCTTTCACTAACCAAATTGGGACAGTAACGAATAAAAAAAGTAAATATGAATATGGAAAAAGGCAGATGCTTCCCCCCAAGAAGCCAAAACAACAATTGCAAGTTTTAACTGATTCAGTGAAGATAGTTCTTAATGTGCCATCTCCATCAAAGACGATTGCAAACATTTAGTGCATGACCGTAAATCCGCCTTTTGCACTGTTGTTGTGAGATTCGATGGTTTGCCTAATTAAAAGGAAAATAAACTGAAATCGACCAAGTTATTGACAAAGGACAGAGTAATTTAAGATCAAGAATTACATAATTTGCACAGAAGGGAAAGAACAGAAGAGAAGAGAACTGGAGAAAGTTTTATATTTTTAAAATATCAATCTATTATTAATTATTTAGTTAATTCATTTATTGCGGGTGGATGAAATATGATCAAAACAAGCAATCTTTAAGTTATTTTATGTCCTTTTTTAAACTAAAGAGATCATTTCATTTGGATTAATTTACTTGCTCTCAAAATTTTTTATCGATATTAATTTTTATAATACAAACTAACACGAAGCTAATGTGCTGTGCTTTGCACGGGTTGTTTTTTATAATTCATAAATAATTATCAAAAATTTCATTTTTTCCTAGAATTTTTCTTTTATCTTTTATTATCTATCTAAAACCGTGCCTCCACATACCTTGAATCCGCACCAGCCTTAGAACACTACTTCTTCAACGTTGTATATATGGATGAAGCCATACCACCAGATAAATAAATATATATATTTTATTTTGTATCATAAATCAAATCAATTTTTTTATTAATTTTTATCAAGCGGTATCATCTCACATTCCCGTTTAACGCGTTAATTGAGAAACTAAATCCCTTTCAAGCCGGTTGTGATTTATGTGATATAATTGAGAACATGAATCTCTTATCAATTAAAAAAACAAAATAAATAATAATTAAATTGTTAATTATTTTTTTTCAAATTATCCGAATTAGATAGATTTTAATGTTATTTTTTTTCATTTCTTTCATTTAATAAATATTTGAAACCTTCAGAAAGAAAAAATACCGATTTACAATATATTAGATGTAAACAAGTTCATTCTCATATATTGAAGTAGTTATTACCATATCTTTAACAACCATTTTTATGGCTACATACATTACAACACGTTTTACAAGAGCATTAAAACTTTTTTTTTAAATTAGGTAATAATAAGAACACCATTTCATTGTATATTAATTTAGTTACAAAACAATAAATAATTGTCCTGAGGATTGAAAGGTTATTAATCTTGATGATTTATTACATTTTGTAATCATTTAATTATTTAATTGTAATTAGCATTAGCAATTTAACATCATGGTTTTTGAACCATGTGAAAAGTGACATCAATTTAGAACCACGTTGGAGTATTAAAAAAATATTTGGAAAAAAAAAAAAAAAAGGAAAGAAAGAAGAAAGGAAGGAAAGAATTCCCCCCAACCACTCTCTTAGTATTACTTATACGTATTTGATTGATTGTTTCATCATATTTCTGTACATTCTACCATATCCTAATACTATTTAGCGCCTCAAAAAACCCATAAAAATGGCTCATTTGGCTGAAGAAATTCTAACCTAGATTTGATCATCAACTTGAAGCTCAAGCTCATTATATGGAACCATATTTTCAAACTTCATAATTTCATTGTCCTTAAAATGGTTGCAATTCAATTAGGGAATACCAGACGCTATTAAAACAAGCCATGGCAAGCTTATGGACTCTTCAGGAACCTAATTACTGCCCCTATTCAAATTTACACCCAACCAAAAGCGGCATTGCATTTCCTCGGCCTGATGCGCATTTTAGTCCATTCTTGGTTTTTTTTTGCTGCTTAGCAAAAATAGAAGAAAAAATGGCCTGAGAAATAGAAGGGTATGTTCTTACTAATGCATCGAAGGCTTCTTGTTAAGAGAAATCCATCGAGTTGTGACACCGTTCTTGTAGCCATTGCTTGATCCTGTTTAACAGGACCATGCGCATTATTTAAGGCCACTTGGTTCTAGGAAAGATGATACAACCCCATTTCATATATTTCACCGGAAACGAATTATTTGGGAATCTGCCTGGTCAAACATCCTTAAGCTCAACAATTTTTTTTAATGAAGCTTATGGCAAGTGATGCTAGGTTGGTTTATTGGAGATTATGATAAAGAACGCAAAGGAGTGTTTGTGGTTTTGAAGTCATTGGTTGATGTTGGAGGTGGAACAGGAAACTTGTGGCTAAAATTTAGCTTAATGACATTTCCTCACTTGGGATTGCTTTTCTTCGAATCTCCCTCATGTTCGTTGCTGGTCTTCAAGATTGGCTGAGAACGAAAATCGTGGTTAAGGTTAACATGTTCGAGGGAGGATTCCCCCTGCAGCTGATGCAATTTTACTGAAGGGCATGGTACTGAAATTTATTGCTCTCTCTTTTTTCTATCTTTTCTTTATTTTTACTAGTTATTAGATGAAAGGTTGGTCTTGCTTTGAATGTCTAACTTCCTTACATGCTGCGCCTGAATATTTCTGCTTAAAAATTTTTTAAAATTTTATTTCGATTCCATAAACAGTGGATTTTGCATGATTGGAGTGATGAAGAATGCCATAAAGATACTGAAGAAACGTAAAAGAAGCAATCAAGGGCCAGAAAAGGAGGAAGCTGATTAATTATAGATATGGTTGATTTGGAGACCCACACAACAGAATAATGACTCCATTGAAAACTCAGCTTTTCTTGGAACATGCTTTATGATTGTGTGTAGTTAGAGGTAAAGAAAGAAACAAGAAAAACAATGGGGCGAAACTCTTTTTTGATGCATGGTTTTTGGTGACTATAAGATAAACCATGTGTTGGGTTATAAGGTTCCTTGTAAATTGAAGGTTTATCCTCTTAATTAATTAATCATGTAATATGTGGCGTTGCGGTTCCAATTTAGAGAAGTGAGAAGTTAGAGCGCCGAATTCTATTATAAATTGTTATTAACGAGTGGTAAATATTACTCAATGAAGAGAATTGTCTCCTGCTTTATTTACTTCTTAATTTAAATTTAATAATTGTTCAATTTCAATCTACAGAATATAATATTCTATATGAAATACTCTATTTTTCTTTTTTCCAATGACATTGCAATTTATTATTTTATTTTATCTTTATTTTTATTTTATAATGGCACTTGTTTCCACTTTAGGGAAAGTGCTTTTAGAAATAAGATTTTGACATATTATTAATTACTACATGGATTAAATTAATAATTTCTGTCGAATTTACCTACTTGATACCCATTATAAATTAAAATAATTGTTTTGAAGAGAAAGATGAAATACATTATTTATATTTAAAAAATTATTTTTATTTTTTTAGGTAAGATTGTAGGCCATCACATTCACAATTTCAAATTTACAAATTACAAAATTTTATAAATGTCATTATTTTGAACATTCTAATCAACACAAAATGGATTGTTTTAATTGAGCATAGTTATATAAAATTTAATTATGTAGACGTAATTTCATTAGATTTAAGCAAAATTCGTATTACAAGTGAATTTTCATTGCTATTTGGATAGCATTTTTCATAAGAACACTGCACACACGAATGAAAAGGATAAGATTAAAATTCCTTTAGATTTGTTTTAGATAAGAGAGAGAGAAAAATAATAAAATTTATTCACATTAAATAATGTAATTATTTCAATTTAAATAATAAAAATTAAATTTAAATCGAAGTTTTTCATGAGTTTTTTTTAAAAGTCATATATGAATCTCATTCATTAAAAGAACATGACTTGAGTATTTTACATAGAAAAGAATTTTATAAGAAATGATTTTAGCAGAAGAAATCAATTTTTCGGATAAAAATTGATTCATTTTAAAAATAGGATAATAAAAAACTTATTCCAAAATTTATTTCTTTTCGAATACTTGCTAGAATTGATATCTACAGGAAGAGTTTTAAAAATACCAAACTTTAACAGAGGAAAAAGTTTAATGCTAACAACTCTATTTGAATTATAAGAAATTTATTTTCCAAACTTAATTCTAAAATATAACATAAAAAATTCACAATTATTTCGATACCCATTGAACTGCCAACAAAATTAAAAATAAAAAAAAATCCACGTTGGAAACTCCCTAGTAACGATGAAAAAGATTTAATAAATTAACAAAATCAAAAACACATAACCTTTACAAAATCTTACTAGATTTAGTTCTAAAAAAAGAGAAAAAGGCACCAAACTTTTTATTGAGAAAAAAAAATGCTATGTCCCTTATCAAATTCTAGCTAAATCTTGAGGAACATGAGTAAAATTTATTCAAACAATATACACATGTTAAACATATTAAAATTAATTTTAATTCCACACAAAACCAAACGTCATTAAACAATAATTCTGCTAGTATTAATTAAGGCTCAGGGCAATATATATTAGAGAGAGGCGAAGGTTAGGAAGGTGTGTGTATTCCAACTTATTCATATAGTTAGTACTAATTAAGTACAGGCTAATGGATTGGTTACTAGAGAAACATAGATGAGCTACTTCAAAAGCTCAGGTTCTCATATATGGACTCATTCTCTGCCAATTCATAAAGTCCATGTCTCTAAAATGTTGCAGTTGAACTAGGCATACCTGATGCTATAGCAACCAACCATTGGCCAACCCATGCCTCTTTTCTTGACCTAGTTTTCTGCTTTAAACAGGTTTAACCCTTTGCTTAAAAACTCACCATCTTCACCGTCTAATGCTAATTTCTTGTTCTATTCTGGTTCTTTTCTTTAAAAGGAAGATGGCTATTTAACTTACTGCTATCCTCATCGTCTTCTTCTAAAAGACCACTTTCCTTTAATTCAAGACCTTTTATATCTCTTGTTCTTGATCCTATTCTAACAGAACCGTATAATTGCAATGAGCAAATGGCTTAAAAGATGATCATGATTCAAAAACACCGTTCGTAACTGCATTTGCGAGGTCGCTATGGGAACATGCAGGGCATGAAATTAGGGTTTAATAACTTGTTTAAAGAAGCAATGGCTTAGTGATAGTTTTTAATTAGTGAGCGGTGATAGTCAAGTGTAAGGAGGTATTGAAGGGGTTGGATTCTTTGGTTGATGTTGCAGGTGGAACTGGAAATATGGCCAAGGCTATCGCTAATTTACTTTTCCAAATTTGAAGTGTTTACTGTTTGGTTTTTTTAGATCTTCCCCATGTTGTTGCTGGTTTTACAGGGGCATAAGAATTTTGAATTTTCTTGCTGGGACATGTTTTGAGGCTGTTCCTCCTGCTGACTGCAGTTTTTTGCTCAAGGTTATTACAATGGTTTACTCTTTTTTTTTTTTTTTCGTATTAAACTAAGAAGTATCCGTAATCTACTGGATTAGACTAAATCATGCACACGCTAGTCAAACCCACGAAAAGGTTAACATGCTTCAAACAAATATTTACGACATCATAAAAATTCAAACCTTCAATCTTACTTTAAAAGGAGAAAAAATATTAAACTACGCATTCTACTCTACTTTTGCCACATACACACACACACTTGTGTTTCAAGTTAATTTACTTTTATCACTTGGGATATGAAAATTTTGATTTAGCTTAGCACAATTGATTGAAAACAGTGGATATTTGCATGATTGGACTGATCGAAGATTGTGTGAAGATACAATTAAGAATTGCAAAGAACAATTACAAGGAAATTGGCGAGCAAAGAGAATTAGAGAAGAAGAGAAGGTTATCATCATTTGGACATGGTGATGGGAAACCAAACTTGGGATAATGATTGGACTGAGCCTCAGGTGTTGTTTGATATGGAAATGATGGTATGTCTGGTTGGAAAGGAAAGAACTGAGAAAGAATGGCAAAGTTCTTCTTTGATGCTTGGGCTTTTACTAAATATAAAATTAGATTATGTCTTGGTCCTAGAGCCGTACATTGAGGTTTATTTCCTTGACTATTTCGCGAGGGAGCTTTGATTAATTTAAAGCTTTTGTATCGTCTATTAGATTAGTTCTTGATTTCACGCTTGATGTGCGAGTATTTCATAAATCGTTTTAGCATGATTATTATTATCTTGAATGATGTTATTCTTATTTGTAATGTTTTTTATTTGCAACCTCTTTTATTTGAATTCAAGGAATAAAATTAATTAAAAATTAAATTATTTACTTGTATGTTTAACAAAAAAATTATTTTTATTTTATTTGTAAATGAGGGGTATATTGTTAAAACTAATATTAAAGCTTAAATTAAACAGTAAACATTTACAAAACACTTGTTTTTTGGCAGTATTAAACTACAGACACTTTTATTAAACAGGAATTATAAATATTCTATTAATTATAATTAGTAAATATTATCTCTTCTTAATTCTTGTTTGTTTTTTCACATTTATTAATTATTAAATAAAATATTTTATTTTTTTTAATAAAAATATATAAAAATAATAATAATAATAATAATAATTTTGTTAAATGATTGTTATCTCATTGCCAATGATTTGGCACCACTTGCTCTTCTTCCGTGTCACCTAAAAACCATGTCAAGGTTTATTCACGCCATTTATCAATTTTATATGAAAGAAAATCAATACCATGTTAATTTTCAAGAAATGAAATTTTGGATCTCACATTAATTAAAAATGTAGATTTAAAAATATAAAATTTATGTAAACTTAAATTCTCAAATTGATATTGTTTAATGCATGAATTTAATGTTAACAATTTTCCTACAACCATATAAAAAACATTAAAATAATTATCTGTCCTAAAACATTTAATGATGGAGCATTAAAGTTAAAGAATTACTTCCAAGTAACCTTAATAGAATTGTTATACTTACCTTGTGTCTATAAATGTTAATTTCACGTTCTTTAAGAAAAATTATTTTTTTTTAAGTTACAATTAAATTTATTTGAGTAAATATGACTATATTACCCTTAATTTAATTACTAATCTTTAAGAAAAACTATCAAATTTGAAAATAAATTAATTATCAAAGGGGTTAAACATGGACTTTAGATTAAGTTTCTTTGGGGTTTTTGACAAAATACGCATATTAAGAATTTAGTAATTAAAAAATTATTTTGCCACTTTTTTTAACCTTAACTTCATTAAGATAATTAATAATAGTCATTCATTTCAAAAGATCATAAAAGTATATTTATAAAAAAATAATTGTATTATATATTATAAATTTTAGGAAACTTTATAAACACTTTTAAAACATTTAAAGAAAATGAATAACAAGCAAATAAATAGGACGTCAATTACTAAATTGCAATGGATTTAATCAATATGTTGCATATGCAGTTATTAAAATATAATATTTTATATTTGCCCAATGCTTTATCAAATCTAGCAACATTTTCAACCAATATTTATCACTAATTCTTGAGCGAAAGTGCGCCTCGCCTGGAACAAAAGTGGAAACTACACATACATATTATATTTATTTAAAAAAAAAAAAAAAATTGACAGGGGTTCTAGACCAATTTAATTAGGTGTGCACTAGGGGCCGCAAAAGGACCCATACGAATGACAAACTTTTTCACAAGGTGTATAATATAAAATAGCAAATAAGTAATAAAGAGTGAAAGAGTATCATCCCACGAAAATTTACTATATCAAGTACCAAAATTGTTTTAACTTACTATTCAATTATTTAAATGACCAAAAAGAAGAATAGATTTGAAAAATAAAATAAAACAAATGATAAGAAATCAAATAAGAATATTTGATGAAAAGAAATCAATGATTAAAAAAACTAATTAACGATTTTTGACTTCACTTATTTCTATTCCAATTATTTTATTAAATTTGATAATCAATTTTAATCTGTTCAAGTAGGGAAAACAATTTTAAAATCACTAATAAACTCTCCCGATGTATTGTTTAGCCTATTTTAACCCGGTCTAATTAACATATTTTCCATAGCGCAATTCAAAACATAAATGAAATTTAATAAATTTTATGGTTATTTAAGAATTCATTAACTAGGTCGTTAACTGATGAAAACTCCCCATGAGTCAATCATATAACTTCGCATAACTATGATAATGATTTTTGCGAATCAGCATGTCTGATTAATTATGATGGGTTATGAGGCCTTGGCTTTTTGCTTTCTACTGCAGTTGTCAAGTAAACCGAATGTTCATATTCAATTTTCTTTATGTTTACTGAAAAGCCATATTCACTAAAATTTCTTACAGCTCACCCTGCTTAACACAAGGCCATAGAGGTATAAACCCATTTTTATAGAAATTAGAGCTTGTTAATTCTTTTTTCTTTTTTTTGTCTGATGCACTTTCGGGGCCACTTTCAGGATGTTGCAGTTTAAATTTTCATATCTATCTTTTAAAGATTGAGCTTCTCGTTGTGTGTGGTTAAGTTAGTATTGCTCAAACTTAATTATTTCACTTAAATTTTGAGCTTTGACTATGAAAGCAAAATGCTGGATCCATAAAGGACAAAACCCAAAATTTTAAGTAGAGTATTTGCGTAATTGGCACTTGATTATAAACTCTAAGGTGTTTTCTTCGAGACACAATGTCTCCATGTTGAAACGGAGTATTCTGATATTTTAAATTTAATTAACAAAGAGGGAGGTGGATGTGAAAAATAAAAGAATTTAGAGTATAAATTTTAAATCTAGAGTTTATAATAGGATTAAAATTTAATCGGAAATCACTAAATTATTTCTTCTCAAAGAAAAAAGAAAAAATAAATTCTTTAACCCTAACCACTGTGGGATAGGGAATTTGATAAAACATTGTTATATGGTAACGTTTATCTTTAAGAATTCTCTATGTGATCAAATGTTTATAATTATATTTTCAACATAATAAGTCATATGAAGTTATGAGTAACTGGGAGAATATCAATTTGGTTGGTAGTAAAAGGATTCAAGGTTTTTTTCTGTCTGAGTGTTTACTTAATTATGTGAATCTTATTTGAAGTAGTATGATATCATTTTATTCTTATTTGTCTCCGTTAATTATTTCTCAGCATGATAATAATCATATTACCATAATTATGTCATTTCCCTTACACAATCAAATCTTATATATATATATATATATATATATATATGAAAATGAGAATGAGGTGAGAATAATGAGATTACTTATAATGAAATTTTTAGAAATCTTAAAATATCATTTTGGATATTGATATAATTTAGTTTATCAAATTTAACATTTGAGTTTTTTAATATTGATAAAATTGTTATATTAAAATTATTAATCAATTGACTTTTTTTTAATAATTTTATAATTGATTTAAAAAATTTACATTTGAATTTAAATCTTCAATTACGTTCAATTATTCCCATTATCAAAATGAATTACATTAACTAAGTCAATCAACAATTCATATTTATTTCAATGGTATCCAGGAATAGTTTTTATTTAAACTTTTTTTTTTTTTTCCCCCCCAAATTTTCTATAACACAATGTAAATGAGACATTTTGAAAATTTTATATTTTATTTTATAAATTATATTTTTTCAAAATATTTTGATTTCTATTTTTATTATAATTTAAAATATTTATTTTAGGGACGAGAGATAAAAAAGAAAAAAAGTATATTTTTTATAACAAGATTTTTTTCCAAAATAGAGTTAATATACCAACAATTAAGTCTTTCAAAATATTTAAATTTTTACTTTAAAATTTATTTTCAAATAAAAATGAACATTTGTGTGTTAGATAATGAAACAGTTGAAAAAATTTAAATTTTTAAAAATTGTTATGTATATTTTTATTTTTATATTTGTATATCTATATATATTGAAACATATTTATATGTGATAATCCAGTTATTATTGAATTTTAGATAAATAAAGATATAAATTAATCTTGAAATTATGTGTGTACTATACATACTGCTGTTTTATTTAAATTTAATCGTTTTATATTACATTAATCTTATATGAAATTTTATTTTAAACAATTATAAAAATTTAAATAGTATAGATAAAAATTACTAATTAATATTTAATAATAAAAATAAAATGAATATAAATTAATAAGTAAAAAGATATAAAAAAATTAAAATAAAATGACATACATAAGTATAATCAATGTTGTTAATGTCATATATATATATTTATATTATATATATACATTATATATAATATTATATATACTAATATATATTATATAGTATATATATATATATATATATATATGTAGTGCCAATACATTTAAAATGTTGAAAAGATGAACCAAAGCCATGAAGGCCAACTTGCTACATAAGGACAGGCTGCCATGAGCGTTAGAATCTGACATATAATTAAATTTTTAAATTCACAAGCTTACTAGGTAAAAATATGTTTTACCACGCAGGATAATTTCGCTGCCACAACGACCCTTTTTTTTTTAATAAACTTGCCAGATAATAATTTTATTAAAAGGAGGAACACAGCAGCCCTTCAAGAAGAAGCAGATGATATTAGTGGCATTTTACAACTTAATAGTAAATAATACATTATTTTATTTATGTATAAAACTATTTAATTTTAAAATAATAAATGACGAAATAAGGAAGCTTAATTAAAATAGTTTTAAGAAACGAAATTACAAAAAAAAAAAAAATAAATAATATCCTCTTTGATAATATTTGTTATATTGAAACTTTCACCTTTCCTTAAGAAATCATTAAATTATTTTAATTTAATAATAAAAATTATTTCAATAAAATTGGATTATATTACCTTAAATTTATATTAATTTTTCTGAAAAAATCTTTAATTAAAGTTAATAATTATTAATTATGTATAAAAGGATAAATATAAAAAAAATATTTATTATTTTGTTAAAACCATAATATTATAATATTTTTTAAAATAAATTTTTTTTTAAATTACGACCACATATTTTGAAAGGAGCTAGAAGTTATTTAATTACATTTAATAGAATGATAAAAAATGGAAAAAAAAAAAGTTAATTAATGGCCTTCATAACTTTTGAAGGCCTAATTATATAACTTTTAGCTTATTAACTTTTTTTTGCATGTTGACTTTTCAACGTTAGCATTTACTTTGATTGTTTTTGAACCATGTTGAAGTTGACATCAAATTCGAACCACGATGGAGTGGTTTTTGAACAACGAAAGTAACAGCAATTTGAAACCACGTGGAAGTATTAAGGGACATTTGCTTTGCTTTCAATATTAATATTGATTTCTCCAGCAATAAAAATAAAATAAAATTACTTAATTAACCATTCAAAAAAAAAAAAAAAAAAAAAAAAAAAATAAAAAAAAAAAAAAAAAAAAAAATCCCCACGATTTTGATCTCTATATATATGTGTTTGATTGCTCATCGTCTTTGTATCTCTATCATTCCAAAATAATATTAGCCACCTTAATATCAAAACCGTAAAAATGGTTGATTTGGCTGATGGAACCCGAAGCCAAGACCACAATCAGCTACTCCAAGCTCAAGCCCACATATGGAACCATATTTTCAACTTCATAAATTCCATGTCCTTAAAATGTGCAATTCAATTAGGGATACCAGACGCCATTAACAAGCATGGCAAGCCCATGACTCTTTCTGACCTAATTATTGCTCTCTCTATACACCCAGCCAAAACCCATGCAATCCCTCGTCTGGTGCGCATTTTAGTTCATTCTGGTTTTCTTGATAAAGAAAAAACAGAAGAAAATAGCCAAGAAACAGAAGGGTATGTTCTTACAAATGCATCGAAGCTTCTTGTTAAAGAACATCCATTTAGTCTGAAAACATTCTTGCTAGCCATGCTTGATCCTGTTCTAACAGGACCATGGGATCATCTAACCACTTGGTTCTTGAATGATGATCCAACCCCATTTCAGACATGTCATGGAAGGGGAATTTGGAAGTATGCTGGTCATAATCCTGAGCTTAACAGTTCTTTTAATGAAGCTATGGCTTGTGATGCTAAGATGGTTGCGAGTATTTTGATTAAAGAGTGTGAAGGGGTGTTTGATGGGTTGAAATCATTGGTTGATGTTGGAGGAGGAACAGGAACTGTGGCTAAAGCTTTAGCTGATTCATTTCCTCAGTTGGATTGCTGTGTCTTCGATCTTCCTCACGTTGTTGCTGGTCTTCAAGATGGTGATAACCTGAAATTTGTTGGTGGTGACATGTTTGAGGAAATTCCTCCTGCAGATGCAATTTTACTTAAGGCATGTTACTATATATATGTCATAACATTTAACTTCCGGATCAAAATATGATGCTATCTTATAGGGAAAGGTTAAAATTTTCAAAAATTTAGAGGACAAACTTTTGAAAAACAATTTTCCCAAGGAGCCCCTCTCCCTAATATATATATTCTTTATATTTTAGGATTCACTTATTTTGGCCGAGTTCATGGTTCTATCTATAGGCAATTGAAACAAGGGTATTTATGATTATATATTAAAAAAAATAGATACAATTTTTAAAATTTTCTATTTCTATTAGTTTGGTCCATGTATATAGTCCAACGCTAACTCTATGTAAATATTTGTTTTTCCATTGTTGAGCAGTGGATAATGCACGATTGGCACGATGAAAAATGTATCAAGATATTGAAGAACTGCAAAGAAGCAATTAAGGGTAGGAAAGGAGGAAAGTTGATTATTATAGATATGGTGATGGAGACCCAGAAAGAGGATAAAGATGCAACTGAAACAGAGCTTTTTCTTGATATGCTGATGATAGTTTTATATAATGGTAAAGAAAGAAACAAGAAAGAATGGGCTAAACTCTTTTTTGATGCTGGTTTTAGTGATTTTAAGATAACTCCTGTGTTGGGTTTAAGATCTGTTGTTGAAGTTTATCCTTAATTAATTGTGTTTTTATTTATTAATCTTCACTTTTTAATTACTTTCTTTAAAAATAAAAGTGTGGAAGTAATTAAAAATTATAATATGTATGGTATGATATAGTCAAGTGGTTTTCTCGCTTTCTGTAAGACCATGAAGAATGGAAATTTTCAAATTCGAATCTTTCGACTATTGAAATTTTCATCAATTTGGTATTAAAGAGAAGACTACCTCCTATTGTGTAGCTTATAATATTATTGCAGTGCCTCTTAATAAATTAATAATAATAATCTTTATTACGTGAGTAGTTGGTTTATTTTGGAGCTCTATATGTATTACTGCCAATTGAATGAATGCTTGTTCCTAAATTGATTCAGAAAAGTAGTGGTTCTAAAGGTGTAATTTTTTTCTTCATAACAAGAGTATTTTTCAAACCGTCTTCAAATTAATAAATTAGTGATTCTAAAAGCACAATTTTCACCGTAACGAATTAAATTGTTCTATTATCCTCAATAGTTCAATGTGACGAATTTTACCTATAATATATAAAAATATACACGTTTTATACATTTTAATTCATTAGAATAAAAATTGTATCAAACCCAAATTGAACCAAATATATTTCCGTTAATAAACAAATTAAAACAGATTCATAGGTTCAATTTATTTAAATATCTTCGATTCAATTAAAATTTTCATAAATTACCCAATATTTTTTTTATTTACAAAAATTTTTCAAACTAAATCAAACAATATGACAACCAATCATGTCGCTTTTTTCAATTGCAACGAGTAGTGCAACGGTGGTGCTGTGACCCTGCAAAGTACTTTTCTTTCTCAATCACTTGTATTAAAATAATAATAATCAATTCAACAAGATATATATATAAAAAAAAAAAAAGAAAAAGATAAAGGTCATTCCATCAGTGGACAAATATAATATAAAGCTAAGATTTTAAAATTTTAAAATTGAAAATTTCATATTAAGAAATATTATACTTATTTTCCATGTCCAATCAATCAATATTACAAATCATCTTCATCACAAATGAATTATTAGCAAAATGGGTAACAGTGATGCCTAAAACCTTTTAAATTATAAAATATACCTTGTATCATAGAATCATTTCTTATTTAAACGATAAGAATACATCATCGATCCCGGTAAATTTACGATAACTTTTAAATTAAAAATTAAAAAACATTATATTAATCTCACATTTTAAACATGTGATAAATAAATCATCTTGATTTTTATTTTTTTAATAATAAGGTGGCATTACAGTAAGGATACTTTTACTATATTAAATCTATCCTTTTCACTAATCAAAAGAAAATCATTTATATAAAAAATTAAGGGATTAACTTAAATTAAATGTATCTAAATTGTGATTTCAACTTCGAATATGAATCTTATGATCAATATGGTGAAAAACATATTTATTTATTAATTAAGCTAATCTCCATTTTGCTAATACCAGCTAAGCTTAGTAATAATAATAATATAATAAAGCCAACCAAATCGTACTCATCAATTCAGTTGGATTTGATTTTGATTTTAATGCAAAATAATTGGATTTTTTTAATTTTGGTTTGATTTTTATTGTAGGGAATTGTAAATTTAAAATCTTAAAAATCAAACCGATTTAACCTAAAAATTTAATTAAAATTGAAAGATTAGATTAAAAACCTAATCGATTCATTTTATGAACACATCGGTTTGTTTCATTTTAAAAAAAAAAAAAGATTTGCTTTATTGAATTTAATGCAAAATAATTGAATTTTTTTTTAATTTGGTTTGATTTTTATTGTAGGGAATTGTAAATTTAAAATCTTAAAAATCAAACCGATTGAACCTGAAAATTTAATTAGAATTGAAAGACTAGATTAAAAACCTAATCGATTCATTTTATGAACACATCGATTTGTTTCATTTTTTTTTTTTTTAAAGATTTGCCTTAGGTGGTGTTCGATAACAAGTTTTTAAGTAATATAATGTTATCTCTTTAGTGTTCGATAATATAATATTTACACTAGTTTGTTAACTGATTTAACGTTTAGGTTTTAATATTGAAAAGTTATAAAACAGCTAACATCTAAATGCTACTAAAATGGTTAATAATTAACAAAATAAATAATTTTGCAGAATAAATCATTTTTAAATTATACTGGTTCAATTCGATTTGAACCGAATCGACTAGTTTCTCACCCAAAGCTATGCTCTCAATATATATAGAGCGGGTTAGAGGCATTAATGCATAGTATAGCAACTTCAAGAAACACAAAATTAAACAATGGAGTTGATCAATGGAGAGAGCACAAATGAGCTTCTCCGAGCTCATGCTCACATATGGAACCACACATTCAACTTCGTAAAATCCATGTCACTAAAATGTGCAATTGAGTTAGGCATTCCAGATATCATTCACAGCCATGGCCAACCCATGACTCTTTCTGACCTAGTTTCTGCTCTAAAAATCCCCCAATCAAAATCTCACCATATCCATCGTCTTATGCAGGTTCTTGTTCAGTCGGGCTTCTTTTCGTTGCAGAAAGTTAGCGACGAAAATGGGTATTTGCTTACTCAATCCTCTCTTCTCCTCGTAAAAGAACACCCTGTAACTGCTCGACCATACGTTCTTGCAGTTCTTGATCCTATTCTTACAAAACCATGGCATTTCTTATCTTCTTGGTTTCAAAACACTGATGATAAGGAAACGACGCCATTTAGTGTTGCACATGAGCAAAAATTTTGGGATCTTGCTAGTAATGAAGATAGGTTTAATAAATTTTTTAATGAAGCCATGGCTAGTGATAGCTCAATAGTTAAGCAAGTTGTGATTAGCAATTGTAAGGAAGTTTTTAAGGGGTTGAAGTCACTTGTTGATGTGGGAGGCAACACAGGAGCTATGACAAAAGCCATTGCTGAAACATTTCCAAACTTGAAGTGTACTGTATTGGATCTTCCACATGTGGTTGCGGGGTTGAAGGGTACCAAAAACTTGAATTATATTGGAGGAAACATGTTTGAGTTTATTCCTCCTGCTGATGCAATCCTGCTAAAGGTATCTATATTTCTTTCTTTTTTTCTTCCTTGCTTTCTCTATTTAGTTTCAAATGTACCAATTTTTAGCTAATTTTTCTCAATTGGAATTTTCTAACTTCTAGATTTAAAATATATAAAAAAAAAAAAACAGATGATATGTCATATATTGGATGATGAAGATTGCCTGAAGTTGCTAAAGAAATGCAAAGAGGCAGTAATGAATAATGAAGAGGGGTCAGGGAAGGTAATAATCATAGATATAGTAATGGAAAGCCCAAACTGGGTTGACAAGGCAACTGAAACTATACAGCTCTACGATTTGGAGATGTTGGTCCTTGTCTCTGGTCAAGAGAGGAATGAGAAGGATTGGGCTAAACTCTTCTTTGATGCTGGATTCAGCAACTACAAGATAAACCCAGTTCTTGGCCTAAGATCTATTATCGAAGTTTTTCCTTGAAACTACAGCTTTTATTTTCCATCTCTAGTAAAATAAAGCCATGGCTATAACTTTAGTTATACATCCATGTTATATAAACAATAATTGTATGAGATTCCCTCTTGGGTAAAAAATAAATTTCACTTGTTCTTTTTTCATTTTAAATATTACATTTGATATTTAAAGCCTATTGTCTCAATTAATCTGAATTTGCACTGAATATACCTACAAATAATCTAAATTTAGTACACAAAGAGGGACAAAACATTTTCTCAAGATCTCCGATTTAAAAAGACAGAATCCTTTTTATCTCGTCTCACTCTATGAGAGTAAATTTCACTTGTTCTAATATTGTCACTAAGTTCTTTAATAGCATCTAAAATGTTAATTTTCCGAAAACATAATTTCAACCTAAATGCCAAACAAACTCGTACTAATCCAAGCAATTCTCAGCAAAATAGCACGGCTATCTAAGGAAATTTGCAATTACAAAGTTGATGATGAACAAAATGAGACCATCTTACGAAAGAAAAAAATTTGTTTGAAGTACAATAGAAAGTGGAAAAAGTATACGTTCAAGACACAGCATCTAGACAAATATGCTCGCGTCCAATACTCGTAAAACCAATTAAACAAAAACAAATCACACAAGTAAATTCTACATTCTATTGGCAGTGCCTTGAAGTCTTCTTTAAACAGCGAAGAAGATTGAATTACTGAACAATGATGCAGCTTTAGTTCCATATCTTTTTCCTTTACATCAATTCAATATAAATTCTATCAACAGGCTCAAGAAACCCAAAAGGTGCCACCTATCTTCCATGAGTTAAAAATGCTACTTATCTGCCAAAAAACACATTACTCCAATTCCAGAGAAACGAGGACAGAGGAAAGCATCTCCAGCTTGATGAAGAACCTTCGTTTAGCTCTCAAGAACATTCCATCCCTGTCCCTGGAAAAGACTCCTATTTCGAGAAAAGCTCTGCATACCCAAATTGATTCGAAGTGAGAACTTTGAGTAAATTTATTATAATGGGAAAGAATATCCTATTTGAAGAACTACGCTTAGTTTTACAATGCCATATGATACCTATAAAAATTGCATTCCCTATGATAACGATAACTTGGTTACACAATTGCGTATAATAACTTGGAAAACTTATTCTCATAACAATGCCTAGCACAAAAACTTCTTTTATTTGAGCAAGCCATCTTTTCCACTGCAAGCAGCTTTTTATTTCACTAATTCAGCAACTCCATTCTCACCAGTACCCCATACCTAGAGAATCTAAAGCAATATTCAATTGAACAACTCATATGACACTCAGTAAATTGAGACCACCCTCAATTACATTGCTAAAAGTAACAATGACCAGAATTCATGAATTGTAATCACGTGGACCCAGATCTAGGTCATGAACTAATGTACAAATTCAAATTGTTTGGTGTGCTCGATCATAGATTCTCCACAGGATTTCAACAAATATATTAATTATTGAGTTTTTCAAAATTACAATTTTACCCTTTTCTTTTTACTAAAAAAGTTTTGCTAACAACAATAGCAAGAAATAAGAAAAGCATAAAATATGGAAATAAAATATTTTGAAAAAAAGAAAGTAACTTCGGTAAAAATTCTGAAAATTGTTTTCTTTATTAAGTAATAAACAAGCATAAAATACACAATAACAAAAAAGCCCTGAGCCTAGAAAAAACATTCTCCCATGAATATAATTAAGAGAAAACTAACAAAATCAATTCCTCTAATCACATGCTATGACTAAACTGAAAATTACTTTCACAACCAAATATCAGAAACCCATAGTGAACCAAATTTCAAACGCAAAATGATTGAACCAATCATTTAGGTCCTCCTTCATTTAGTTCAGCTTAGGGCCAACATTTCGGATCCTTAATTTACCAGTTATTCAAGGATATTGATATTTATTTTGCCTTTCTGCCACAAGATGCAGGGAGGCTTTACTATTATTATTTTTAAATAATCCAGAAGTGGACTGCAAAATTTGACTCAGATCAGTATGACCAGATGTCATTGCTCATAAAAGTAACATAGAACAAGGAAATTTTAACCTTATAAATAAAAATTATATTGAAAAGAAAACACTTGACAATCCTCACAACTATTAGCAAGTAATCTGTGAGGGCAAGAACAAGGATCTCTAGCATTTCCACCACATGCATAACACAATGCAGAAGCAGCATATGTTTCATCTTCTTTTAAGAAATTAAAAAAAGGAAAGCATCACTTTCCCATTGCGCAATCTATTGCAAAAAAATAACATCAAATAACTGATTCTATGCTGCATTAAACAAATTTACTATGCTGTTTGATGCATAAACAAGACCTCACAAACCCACAAACGGTAAACAGGCTTTCCTTGTAAAACTTAAAATGTGCCAACTTCACCATATCCACATCACTATTTGCTAGGCAGAGGATCATAGCTGTGAATGCATATTCAAACGCATTTCACAAGCAAATTATGCATACTTAAATCTTAAGTTTCCAGTTCTTATAACCTCAGTTTATATAACATATGAAACTTTGAAGGAAAGTTGACAATTTCATTTTCAAGATAATGTGTAACTTATAGGAGATAGTTAAAAGCTGGAGGAACAAAAAGGCAGTACTAAAGTGATTCTGCAAAGATTTAAATGATTCAAGGGCCCAACAATTTTTTTCCAGGCATCAATGATTGTGATGTAGAACAATTTCTGGACCCATCAGATTTGCTTTCATTCAGCTATGTCAATAAGCTCCAATAGGTGACTCTAGAAACTGGAAGTTAATCCTATTTTAGTTTGAAGATTGACCAGACCATGTCCATTCTTGATAGTTAACGTTAATCAGACAACAAGGACCTAATACCGTATGATTTAAGTAAACAACACAAAATAACAGAAACAACCAAAAAAATTTTTGATCCAATCTAAACCTAAAAATAAAAGACTAAATTGATAAAAACCATACCATCCACTTGAGCTGGGGCGGTTGCCACTGGATCTAGGACGAGGCATCAAACCCAGATCTGACTCGCCACCTCTTATCATCCTCTCATAACCACCTGACTTTGGCCGCCCACCCTCTTCACAACCATCGGAAGACACGAAATAGCCCTGTTGTTGTTGCTGCGATGGTGGATGCAGCCTCTGGCTAGCTTCCTTCCCTCTAAGAACCTCTGGTCCTGGTCTCTCCTCCTTCCCAACAAAACCCGGTCTAAGATGCGGCGGCACGAATTTGCTTGGCTTCGGCGATCCCACTTCCTTCTCCCTCTCCGGTAACAGAACCGGAGAGGAAACACACGTAGCTGCCCCCGTTCGACCCAAAGGACGGAGAGAAATCTGATCGGATTCCGGCTCGGACCGGTTCTGATCTGAAGTTTGCACTTGAGATTGTTGAGTCGATGGGCTTTGGGGCGAAGGTGAAAGTGAAGAGTTAGGAACGAAGGAAACGGGTTTTGTAACGGGTCGGGTCAAAACCAGCATACGACCATGAGTCCGAGAAGAAGACGAAAGGTGGTTTTTATAAGCATTTGGAGATGAAATTGCAGAATACGAACCAGGAGAAGAAGAGGAAGATTGTTTCGTTGGGTTGTTTGTGGCGTTGTTTGTCAAGTTTTTTTCATAGACATGATTATAGTTAATGGAGGTATATTTGTTGGTTCTTGCCATCCACCACCAACACCGCCACGACCCGCCACTTTTTAACAGAGAGAGAAAAAATGAATCTTCAATCGGAGGAGGTGAAAGAGAAAGATCTGTTTTGGTAACCTGTGGGCTGTGCGTGGTTGGAGGGATCTAAGGTGGGTTCGATTATCGACGTGGCGAAACGTGAGTGGATTTTTTTTTGTTTTTATGTTACTTTTCTTTTTTTTTTTTTTTTTTTTTGAAAAGAAGAGAAGAATCTGTTTTGGTAACACTGTTTGGGCTTGTGCGTGTTGGAGGGAATCTAAGGTGGGGTTTCGATTATCGACGTGGCGAACGTGAGTGGATTTTTTTTGTTTTTTATGTTACTTTTCTTTTTTTTTTTTTTTTTTTTAACTTTTTTTTTTTTTTTTTTTTTTTTACTTACTGTCCATTTATATTACGGTAAAGTACTATTTAAACCTTCAATTTTGATCTAATTAAATAATTGGTCCTTATATTTTGAATAATACATTCGAACACCTCTAAATTAATATTCCAGAAACAAATAAATATGAGATTTGATTATATTGAAAATAACTCATACTTTGTGCTTCCAATTATAAATAGAAGCAAGCCATATCGAAATTAATAGCAATGTCTTTCTCCCGAATTCTTTGAAAATCATTTTTTCTTACAATAAAATTGCTTTATTCAGTATTTTATTCGCTAATATTTCTATTATTACTTATATCTCCAATGATAATTAAAAATATAGACCGAATGTTTTTATATACTCTTGTTCTATTGTTCTTAATTTTAATTTCATCTTTGTTTCTTTATTTATTTAGGTTCTTATTTATAAAAATTTGCACATCAAACGGAAAAGACTTTAGGTGAGTACTATCCCACCGAACATGATTTAAGGTCTAATTAGATGAAATTGTATCATAATAAAGGAAGTATAGATCTTAATTATTTTAAACTGATATTTGTTAAAGTTATTTCTATTAAAAGGTGTTGAAATGAAAGGATCGGCACTTTTTTCTTTGAAGTAATACTGAGAGTTGAATTCTCATGAATTGAGCCAATATCTTTATCACTTAATAGACTGACATGACGTAAATAAATTTCTGTCGTAACTCAGTAAGTACTAATGAGAAATAAATAAAAGGAAAGCTCCATTGAAGTTGCACTCAAGTAAGAAACTCCAACAAAATGGATATTTTTCAAGTTCCTACAGAATTAGTTTGAAAAATGGTGTCAAGGATCCTAACAAATTGGTGGTTTTTCCAAGTTGGAGGTGTCTAAATACTTTCCATGAAAAAACACATAATTTGTGGGAAACCTACTACTCAATCTTGAAAATTTTCTAATGCATTTATGGTTGAGACCCTACACGTCTTCATATCTTTGAAGAAAAAAAGAAATATAAGTCTTTATACCTTTCAAGAAATATACATAAAGCTATATATGTGTTTTGACAAATTCTCCATTTATCAGATTTTAGCTATATATCAAATCCCAAAGCAACTCTTATCTATACATATCTTATTTTCTAGAGCCACAATAAATGATAAACAAGAGAGAAATAAAAGAATAATTGAAGCAAAATCAAAATTATTCATGGCCACTCTTGAACACACCCCAACCTGGGCTATTTCATTTGTTTGTTTATGCTTCATTCTTGTCTCTTTTATTTTTGAAGCTGCTCTTCACTATCTATCAGAAGTATGTATATAAATATGTTTTTTTTTTTTAAAAGAAAAATAAATCATTTATTTATGTTGATTTGTTCTTATATTTTCTTGTTTCAGTTTCTAAGGAAAAGGAAAAGGAAATCACTTGTAAGGGCCTTGGAAAAGAGTGAAACAGGTGAACACAACACAACCCTAGCAAATAATTAATAATTCTGCAATTGCATAATTAATTGTATATTAATCTTTTTTTTTTTTTTTAATTTTATTCAGAGATGATGACAATGGGTTTCATATCATTGCTTCTCACAATAACTGAAGTTCCTATATCAAAAATCTGTGTAACAAATTCTCTTGCAAACTCCTTTCATCCATGCAAGCATCCCATGGAGTCTCCACAAATTTTAGACCTTTATTCTGACAATACAGGTGAATCCTATTGTCAGGCAAAGGTTAGCATTACAAACTTGTGAACTACATTAACTTATCGGAACAATAATCAAGCATCTATCTCGTAATTTAGAATATCTGCAACTCGGGTTTTTTTTTTCTTTTTATGAAATTTCTGATATTACCAAGAATATATTCATTCTTTTAATTGGTTGATAATGGAAGCAGGGAATGGTATCACTTATATCAAGGGGAGGAGTCATGCAGCTAAAATTATTTATTTCTGTGTTAGCTGTGTTTCATGTTTTCTACTGTATATTAACTATGTCACTTGGGATGGCTAAGGTATATATAAAAATATAAATCAACTTGCTGCTTAATTCTCTTCTTATAGATCATTTATGTAATTTTTGGTTTAAAATATTGTTGGGTAATTCAAACTGTTTTTTTTAAATAGATGAGAAGATGGAAAGCATGGGAAGAAGAGACTCAATCTTTTGAGTATCAGATTGCTAATGGTAGCTTAAGGCCTTAGAATGACTCCATTTTCATATTTATGCATTTCTATAATAGATTTAGATGCCTCAATTAAGTGGTAAAAGTGCAGATCCAAGAAGGTTCAGGCTGACCCATCAAACATCTTTTGGGAGAAGACATTTGAAAATGTGGAGTGATCATCCTCTCTTGCTTTGGCTAGTAAGTAAAACACAGGATTTGGGAAAATAAAAACCCTAATTTTTTGATAATTTTCTGAGAATGGTTTCATTTGTTTAGGTATGTTTTATTCGTCAATTCAGTGGTTCAGCTTCAAAAGCTGATTACTTCACTCTTCGAAATGGGTTCATTCTGGTAATAACATTTGTCTAGCAATCTTTTGATATTTGGTTAATTAATTATTAATTTCTTTGCTTTTGTTAATTAGGCCAATGTGGCTGAAAGAAGCACTTTCAACTTCCAGAAATTCCTGACCAGAGCCTTTGATGATGATTTTGAGAAAGTAGTTGGAATCAGGTAAAGATTGCTTCTATTCTATGATGCATGGAAACTACTAGACATAGGCGTTTCTGTGTTTCGGAAATGTTTCTCCGTATCTATTTCCTGTATAACTGTATAAAATACCGTTTTCCATGTAAAATTATATTTTACACGTGTTTCCCGTATCGTTTCCGTGTTTCCCTGTTTCTTGGTTTCCATTTTCATGCGACATAGTTCTACTGGAACACACAATTCATACAGGAATGGATCCGAAAAGTTACCAATTGAACAATATGAAAGTTGAAATCATTTTACTAATTAACGTTTGGACTTCATTCTTGCAGGTTATGGATATGGATGTTTTCCCTGCTTTTCATATTTTTCAGTGCACAAAGTAAAATTTTTACTTTATCATCAATTACTTTTGGTTCAGTGATCTTTAATTAATGCTTAAAAAGTTACAATGTTCTTCAAAATTTTCACTGTTTAACCTGATCATTTACAGGGTTTTACAACTACTACTGGCTGCCATTCATTCCTCTTGTGGTACAGTGAATCATATATATGGATAGTATTGTAATATGTAATCATTGTTTGTTTTTTGTGCTACAAGGCTTTTGCATCTTCCATTACAGCTTGTTTTAGCAGTAGGGACAAAGCTGGAAACAATCATAACAAATATGTGTATGGAGAGTTGCAAGAACAATTCAGTAATTAGAGGCACTTTTCTAGTGAAGCCTAGCGATGAATATTTCTGGTTTCATAGGCCTAAATTGCTTCTGTATCTCCTCCAGCTTATCCTTATCCAGGTAGCTGAAAATTTCCCAGATTTAACATTCTTACATGATAAGATCATAAACTAATGAAACCCTTTAATCTCTGGTTGCAGAATTCTTTTCAGCTAGCTTTCTTCACTTGGGCATGGGTAGGTATCTCATCTTGTTTGTAATAAACTCAAGAAATTTCCAAATCTTGAATTGAAATACATTGATTTGGTGAAAAAAAATCAAGAACAGTACGAGTATGGCTTCAGATCTTGCTACAATCAAGAAATTGAAGATGTAGTCATTAGAATTACAACGGGCATGGGAGTTCAGTTTCTTTGTGGCTATGTGACTCTGCCAATCTATGCACTTGTCACTCAGGTAAATGTGTTCCACAAAATTCAATTACAAATGCTGGTATCTTCGTCCGGATTTCTCTTAATTAATAGAAGGGTATGTTCAGCAAAATCAGCTAGCTGTTAGTTGATACAGTAGTTATTAACTGTTCTATTAGCTATTATAAAAGTGTTCGGTAAAAATAGTTATTTAATTCAAAATGATAAAAAAAAATGATATTAATTGTCTAATTAATTGAATTTCGAAGAATAAGATAGAGTTTTGACTTGATTAACACCCTAAAAGCTAGATTCAAAACTGTCTGAGCCAAATTTATTTTCATGGGATTCCATGGAAGAGTTAACATTTGGAATTGATGAACAATTTTTAACAGATGGGTTCTGGAACGAAAAAGGCAGTGTTGACAGAACGTGTAACAAAAGGGCTAAAGAATTGGCACTGGAAAGCAAAGCACCGTCTTTCTTGGGTAAGACATGGAAATGAAACTACTGCGTTGGAAGTTATGAGCCCTCATAGCCATGGGACTAAACAAGAAGAAACAGAGCATCATAACTATACTGGAAACAGAACAAGCACTTCAATGCAAGAAATAACTACAGAAGAAACTAGTCCCACAACGAGAAGTCCTGATGATGATGATGAGATTTCATTTGCTAGCAGTTGGAAGAACATGGATAGTTGTAGGGCTAGTGAAGAGATTAGTTCAAAGAAGAAGAAGAAAATGGTTACTCCATTATATTAGCTGATGATGTTCATCCTTCGGTTTGGCCAGATATTGGCATATATAACCCAGTTTATAATTCTAATTGAAAATTTTAATTTTTGTATCAACAGATTCTTGCACTCTTGAAATTGGAACATAACTATTTGGTCGTTTTGCATTGTTTTATGTCGTTGGACAAATTCAGGTACTATACTCTTATGAAAACGACATAACCAACTAACAATTCCTCAGTTGCTTGAAGTGAAATGCTTTGTGAGAAGGATTCAATTCAACTATTCAGGGGAGGCCCAGGTTTAAAACCTTCATTTTACATTAAAATTATGATCAGATTTCTTTTAGAATTTAAAGAATTTTCTATTTTATCCTTAGGAAATATAATATAGTATTTTTACATCTAACCCATTATTTATAATCTATTTTTATTAATATATGACAGGGGTTAGGTATATGAGATCTGTAAAAGCACTGGCAATTCTGAGTATTTTTGTATATAAATACATATGTTATATGTAAGAAAATGATATGCCAACAGAACATCCCACCTGCAGGATGTTGGTAGGAATATTAATACAAGGTTAAGTGAAGTGTGAGATGAACTCCTCTCCGACATGCTGGCTTCCAACTATGCCCATGTGTTAGCTTGACAGGGAAGTGTTATTGGAGCTGCAATGCTTGAGGAGTTCATTCTTTTTCCTTTTTTTTTTTATTCATTTTACATCAATATCAAAGTGGTTGAAATGCACCTTCAAGAATTAATACATTTTGAATTGCTAATTTGCCCTATATTTAATAATACAACAATGCCATAGTTGAGTATGTCTTTAAAAATAATAAGTTTTGATCGGTAAAATTAGATCAATTAAATATTTATTAAATAGTTAAAAAATGTAAAAATTTATTATTTCAAAAGTTATGTTAACTTTATATTAAATCAATATTTTGCATATAAAATCTAAAAACCCTACAAACTGTTGTTGTTAGTATGGAAAGGTATACTATTAAACTTTACAAATATTCAAGTGCACGATATATTATTCACAAAATTTAGAGTGTCACGGAGTTGAAATTGAAAATTTTATGAGGTAAACTTATGTATTCAGTCATTACATATTTATAGGATAATACAAAACATATCCAATAACACATTTGACATTCGCAGAACTAGGGAGTGGCCAGCGGTAGTGGTTGCCCTTAATTTTAATTTATTTTAAAAATTTACCTTATAAAATATAGAAAATTTTACATTTTATCTATAAAATATATAGTGAGTTTTTTCAATATTGCCCCTTTAGATTTAAAAAAAAAAACATTGCCTCTCTAATTTTTTTTTTTTTTTTGGTTCCGCCACTGCCAATTGAGGAATTCTTTGAGTTAAATAGAAAAAATATTAAAATCAAATAAAGGCAAATAATACGAAAATATTAAAAATAAGAAAATCCAATTAAATAGGTAAAACCTAAAAAAATAGGAAAAATATTTGAATGATTGAAAATGTGACCAACTAGGACTTATACAATGCCCAAAAGTATATGAGATTTTTTTTTTTTTTTTTTTTATAAACTCCAACTCAATTTTCTTCATTTACAATACAACAATTCAAACTCTAGACATTAGACATTGCTTAAGAAATCCAACACCTCGTGGACCAACTAATAGCTAGTCCAATACCGTATGAATTTAATTAATTGAGTACATGCTCAATAATTAATTAATCAATTAACATTTGCATAAAACAGTGTACCTGTAGCCAATTTTTTTAAGGTAATTTTTACCGTTTTAAGGTAATCAAAGTTAGACACAATAATGGTATCTAAATTCTTGAATAAAAACAATAAATACTAATTATTTTATTTCATATTCATGAACTAAAATAATTAGTATTTATTGTTTTTATTCAAGAATTTAGATACCATTATTGTGTCTAACTTTGATTAATATCCATAGCCAGCTCATTCCAACGAAGGTCCCAACCCCACACATTTTCACCATATATATGTAATAACAATCTCCTTCCCCCCCACCCCAACTCCAAAGAACCACCACAATGGCCACTGCTCTCCTCCCAATCACCGCCACCCTTCTCCTCCTCCTTCTCCAAACAGAAGCCCAAACCCCTACAGCTCCAGCTCCGGCACCCCCTGGCCCCGTCAACCTGACTGGAATTCTTGCCAAGTATAGTCAATTTACTACATTTATTCGCCTGTTAACATCAACACAAGTTGCAAACCAAATAGAAAACCAGATCAACAGCTCTACCGAGGGGATGACTCTCTTTGCACCCACCGACAATGCCTTCAACAACCTTAAAGCCGGTACTTTAAATGGTCTTACCCAACAACAACAACTTCAGCTTATTTTATATCACGTTTTACCTAAATTCTACACTTTAAGTAATCTTCTACTAGTTAGTAACCCAGTTAGGACTCTAGCCACTGGCCAAGACGGCAGCGTTTTCGGCCTTAACTTTACAGGTCAAAGTAACCAAGTCAATGTTTCAAGTGGCGTTGTTGAGACTCAAATTAACAATGCTTTAAGGCAAGATTTTCCTTTGGCCGTTTACCAAGTCGACAAGGTACTGTTGCCTGAGGAGTTGTTTGGTGACAAGACATCTACGGCAGCCCCGGCACCTACGTCTAAGACCTCTCCCGGTGGATCCAAGAACAATACGGTGGTGGGTTCACCGTCCCTTGCCGACGATTCACCAGGAGACAGTTCAAATGATGGAAAGAGGAGTGAGGTGGCTTTTGGGTTTGCTGTTGGGTTAGGCTTTTTTTGCATGGGAATTCTTGCTTGAGAGAGATTTGGATAATGCATGTGTTTTTTATTTTCTTATTTTTATTTGTATGTTTTTTCTTTTTTGAAAATATTTTTATTTGTATCTCGTGTGCTTTTGACACGAAACTATTTCCCGATCTAATACTATTTTCAAACTATTTTTCAATCTAATATTTGTCCTGAAATGGAGAGAAAGTTTTACACTAAAACTACCAACTGAGTTGATGGTTTCAGTGCCATAGAAAAAGTAACTCGTACTGACGAGTAATCAGCAAAAAATAATTAGTTATATGTATAAACAATAATTTTTATTTTATATTAATACCACCAATCCAATCAGTGGTTTCAATACAAAATGAAAATTTTAAATTGTCAATTTCCCTTTTCATCAAAACACATAATTTGGTTGGTGATTTTAGTACAACTATGGCATATGACTACTAGTCAACAAAAAGTACATGGAAAAATAGTGTGTTATTAAAAGTCCACCAAATTAATTAATGGTTTCAATAAAAAAATAATGGTTCACTTAAAATTTTTTTCATTAAAACACATGTATGATCTAGTGGTTTGTGGACTAAAAAATGTCAGATGAGTCTGTTGATCGAATACCATTATCATCTCAAAGAAATCATTAAATGAGTGTTTAACATGAGATGTAGATCCATCACGTGTGCCGAAACACACCGCAGATGTATTGAAAACAGGTATTATATATTGAAATGGAATTGCCTCGCCTATTTCGAAAAAAGAAATATGGGTTTGCTGAGCTGCCATCATCGGAGTGTAATAAATGTTCAATAACATTTCTAATACTGCAGATGGTATGCTCCACTTAGGTTGTAGTGCAGAAGATGATGTGCTGGGCGTATTAGCGCGATGGAGGGGCAAGTTGAAACATAAGATGAGTTTTAGTACGAATTTCTTCATTCATTGCACCGAATAGGCTAAATAATCTTCAACGGGATGATGGATTTCTACGTGTTGGTGATGTTGAACTGTGATATATATGTTGGAGCCCATCTGCCTGTATTAAAAAAATATTATGAAAATAAAAGTAAAATTTTTTATTCAATTAGATTAAGAAATTATAAGATAAGATAAAAAAGATATTGAATAATTACCCTAGTTTCAACTTCTGCACCTCGAAATGAATCCAACGTCTAGTTTGTTGCACATATTAAATGTATTTCACCAAAACCACTAGATTATATATGTGTTTTGGTGAAAAAATATTTTGAGTGAATAAGTTTTTTTTTTATTGAAATCACTAATTAATTTGGTGGACTCTTAACAAAATATTATTTTTCCATATACTTTTTGCTGACTAGTGGTCACATCCCATAGTTGCATTAAAACCACCCAAACAAATTGTATGTTTTAGTAAAAAAATAAATTGACAACTTAAAATTTTCATTTTGTATTGAAAATTGGTGGTTTCAATATAAAATAAACATTATTGTTTATTTATATAACTACTTTTTACTGAATGTTTGTCAATACGAATTACTTTTTCTATTGCATTAAAATCACCAATTCAATTGGTGGTTTTAGTACAACATCCTCTCTTCAAAAATATTAGATTGGTAAATAATTTTAAAATGGCATTAAATTGAGAAATAGTCTATGGAGAGCATTATTTTTGTCAAAAGCCTATAACTTGTGCTTTCATTTATTCTTTTCTCATTTGATATACATTGCAGCCGAATAGGCTAAATATCTATTTCAAACGGGATGATGGATTCTTCTACGCTGTTGGTTGATGTTGAACTGTTGATATAATTTGGAGCCCATCTGCCTGATTAAAAAAATATTATGCAAAATTAAAAAGTAAAATTTTATTCAATATAAGATTAAATGAAATTATAAGATAAAGATACCAAAAAGGATATTGGAATAATTAACCCTTGTTTCAAACTTCTGCACCTCGAAGAATGAATCCAACGTTCTAAGTATTGTTTTGGCACATATTAAATGTATTTCACGCAAAAACCACTAGATTATAGTATGTGTTTTGAGTGAAAAAATAATTTTGAGTGAATGAGTGTTTTTTTTTATTGAATCACTAATTAATTTATCGGTGGACCTTTTAACGAAAAACTATTATTTTCCCATATACTTTTTGCCTGACTAGCTGGTCACATCCAATAGTTGCATGTTAAAACCCACCCAAACAAATTGGTATGTTTTAGTAAAAAAAATAAATTGACAACCTTAAAATTTTCATTTTGTATTGAAAATTGGTGGTTTCAATATAAAAATAAAAACAATTATTGTTTATTTATATAACTACTTTTTACTGAATGTTTGTTCAAATACGATTACTTTTTCTATTTGAGCATTAAATCACCAATTCAATTGGGTGGGTTTTAGTACAACATCCTCTTTTCAAAAATATTAGATTGGTAATAATTTTAAATGGCAATTAACTTGAGCAATAGTCTATGGAGAGCATTATTCTTCCTGTCAAAAGCCTATAACTTGTGCTTTCATTATTCTTTTCTCAATTTGATATATAGTCGTAAAATATACTATATTATAATATATATATATAGTATATAGTCAAAAACAAAGCCAAACCCTAGCCAAATCAACAAAGGCTTTGGCAACACAATTTAGATTGGGATTCTGCATTGAACAAGTATATATCAAACAAAGCCCAAACCTAGCCCAAATCAACAAAGGCCTTTGCAACACATTAGATTGGGATTTGCATTGAACAAGCCCATGATACTTGAATTATATTGAATTGAAAATCTTCTCATGTTTCTTGTAACATGATTTATAATGTTTTAAAATTTAAATAGATGCGTTCAAACCTACTATTTTATTTATAATTATTTTTAGAAATTACCAAGAAGTAGACACCAAATCACTAATAAATTTAAAATCCATCCATTTTTGATTTTGATGATTAGATAAAATTTATATTTTTTTCACAAATTTTAATCTATAAACCCTAGCATAAAATAGAGATATCACAAGGAAAAATGCAAAAAAAAAAAAATGTATGCATCATTTTGTTAGGAAAAAAAATAGTAAGAAAGAATTTAAAAATAAGGAGTGACAAAATTTTTTTAAAAAATAACAATCAATTATTTATTCGAGGTAATTATTACGAAGACTGTAGTACTTAAGTTTCACTCAAATATAATAACCTCATTTTTTGAAATTATACTATTTAGTTCATATATTATAATTATATTACACTAATAAGGTCCAACCGTTGATTTTCAAAATGTCAAAAGTACCCCTAAACTATATAGTCCATATAGTTTAGTGAAATACACTATAAATTAAGGACCTCAACTTGAATAATTTTACACTATTTAGTCATTGCATGGTAATTATCTTTAAAGGTACTTTTGATATTTCATACTCACTAAAGAGATAAATTAACCGTTGGATCATATAATATAATTAAACTATAATATAAGGACTAAATACTGTAATTTTGAAAACTGAAATTATTACTGGTGTGTTTAATTAGAACTATATAGTAATTACAATTAGCATGCATACGAGGATTGGATGTGATTTTCCAATCACACGAAGGCACACTTCTACCTACTCCCATGAAATTTTTAGTGTGGAGTTGGAAATAAAATATTGTAATAAATTTGTATTTCTATCACTCATTTTGTGTTCTTGAAATGCAAGAAATGAATCTACTCATTAAGGCCTGAAAATTGGATGGGCCATTTTTGTCAATAAGCCCGAAAACCTTCTATACTCTTGCTTCTTTCTTCTCCCGAACTATAAACCCTAAACCCCTCCGCTTTCTCTCTGCATCTCTCGTGAAGTAGAAGGCTACAAGGTGTGCACAGACGTCCTTCATTATTATGATTTTTTTCATTTCTCGTTTTATTTTCAAAATTTTCTTGGTGATGTTACTTGCCGTTTGACATCCAAGAAAATCTCTTCCTTTTTTTTTTTTTATTTGGGAAATCGGCATTTTGGGTGTTAGATTTCAGAGTCTGGTGGCTTGATTTTGTTGGGTTCTTTCCATTTTTTATGGGTTTAAGTATTTGCTTTACTTTCTCCGAAATAATTTTCTTTCCCTCGCTTTCTTTCTCTGTTCTTTTTTTTTTTTTTTTTTTTAACATTTCGCTTGATTATTATCTTGTTGAATTTTTCTTTGATTATTTGTTTAATTTGTGCCTTGAAAACAATTTATTTTAGATTGCATTTTTTTATGGTTGCCTTCTAGATTGATTGTCTTAATGGGAAAAGAAATGTTATGGTTCCAATCAATTGTATTTTGGTTCTATATATATGGTGAAAAGATGCAAATTTACTTCTAATTCCATTCGTCTCTCTCGGTGTGTGGTGTGAGAAAGATGGAGAGGTTAGTGTCTGATCCGTAGCTAAATATGTTCATGTCAGAGTTTGCATTAAAAATTTGAGAAATTGTAGCTATGAAGGATGTAAATAGATTCCTTTTGCTTCAGCACTTGTTAAGTTCAACATAAGATTGAGAAAATGGTGTAAATGTATTTCGTCTGGCAGAAGATTAAGCTACCTTTGCAAAATTGTGCTGTCAATAATTTAGATTTAACAAGTAGTAATGGCCTCTCTCTAGTATTCTTTCGCATGCTTGTTCCCATATCATGTGTTTGAATGGCATGCTACTATACTTCGTGCTTGATGTTTTAGACAGTAGTTATACTTTTCTTTTACCCCCATTTAACATTTAAATGCTATACTCTTAGCTTTTGGGAAAATGAATTTCAACAACGTCAAAGTTCCTAAGGTGCCTGGTGGTGGTGCAGCCTCAGCTTTGCTTAAGCTCGGTGTTATTGGTGGGCTTGGTTTGTATGCAGCTGCTAACAGTCTCTACAATGTTGAAGGAGGTCATCGGGCCATTGTGTTCAACAGAATTATCGGTGTAAAAGACAAGGTTATTACTTTATCATACTTCTCATTAGTTAGTGAAGATACTTCCTGCTGTTTATATCCATCAGAAATATGCGTTCAAAATTGATTTCCTCCTTGTGTATGCTTCCTCTGTTCTACGTTTAATATTTTCCCTAATATCTTCTATGTGCTAGTAACTTGTCATGATTTCTTAAGCATATTTTTCTTCTTTTTCCTGCTACACCCCCCCCCCCCATAGATTGAGGGATAAGGTCAAAAGACAAGGTTAATTACTTTATCATACTATACTACATAGTCTCGCTGAAAGATACTTCCTGCAATGTTTATAATCGCATCCAGAAATATATGCCGTTCAAACAAAAATGATGAATTATCCTTAGATGTACTCACTCCACTCCTGTATAACGCTCATATATATATAGTAATATCTTGCTTAATGGATGCTAGTAAAATCAATTGGTGGCAGAATGATTTATCAGTTAAAGCATAAAATATAAAATAACAATATATATATATTAATAAGTACACTTAGGGCACTAGAGAAACCGAAGAGCGAAGGGAAAGAAAATTATTTCGGAAAGAACAGCTTCACGCTCACCTATCCAACCTAACCTAACCTCACACTTTTACTTTTCCACTCGCCTATATTATAGCTGCCATAACTCCTCTCTATAAATGAAGACCTCTTAGGTGACTCATGCTCTGTGATATAGACCATCTGATAATCCACTCGTGAAGAAGTATAAGTTGCAAGAAGATTGATTCCTACCGCCACACTATACATAAAAGCAGATACTATAAAAGGGGATAGGCCATCGGATAAGTTTGAATTTATGTGAGGCTGTCTGTGCAGAACACGCGCTAATTATATCATCCCACTAAAATATATATTAACTACACTCTAATTGAATATACACAGTAAATACGAGATGCCCGAGACACATACTAACAAGATATAAGGGAGATTCAGGAGAACTTGATTTGTGCGATTGGATAAAAAGCCTTCTACTCACTCTATATAGCTCTAGAAGATACATGCAAGTAATTGGTGTTCTATGTGTTCATCATGTTATTCGCGCTAGGTAGACTGAGATAGAGAATATAACTGGCAGGTTAACATAGATATGTGTGGTTTGTTGTGTGTGTTATCCCCCCCCCCCCCTTCCCACCAACCCCCTCACTCTTTTCTTTTTCCCTTTTTTGGCTGCATATCCTTTTATGAAAATTATGCTATGTCCTTTATATGCCATGTAATCAATCGTGAAGAAGTATAGTTGCAAAAATTGATTTTCCTAGCCTAACCTAAGCAGATACTATATGGCCTCATGGTGAATATGTGAGGCTTCTGTGCAGCACACTCCTAATTACCCTAAAATTTCTTCTACTAATCCCATTCCACAGTATATGCCCCTCTAAAGAAAGGGAGACAGGACACTTGAAATTTTCTTCGAATAAAAAATTATTGCTTCAATCTGCAATATTGTTCTTTGCTTTCCTTTTAACCTATAGCTGGTGGAATTAATGGCCGGTAACACATATTTGTTGCTTGGTCTTTTTTACCACACATTTCTTTGCTTTCCTTTTAACCTATAGAAAGGAATGGTTTCTATCATTGGCTAGGCATGTTTTTGTTACTTCTTGCAATGTCTTAGGTTCAGCAATCTTCTATCAATGAGGTCATATGTTGAATGCATAACTACTTTTGTTGTATTATTTTTGAATTTGGCAATGTCTGAATAGCAGAATCGCTATCGTGAATAGAACTTAAACCAGTGATATCTATTGTACTGGTGATTTAAGAATAAGTGTCTGGGGCCTTGAATTAATTTGTCAGTGAGTACTTTTAAGCTTTACCTGTATTTGTTCGTGTTAAATGGACCAGAGCTTGTCCTAATCATTTCTGTTGAATTTGTGGCTCTGATGGCTATGGGTAAGATTCCTGGCCATTTATTATCTGTTATTGGTTACATATTTTTGTGAGGCACTTTATGCATCTGACATCTCATCATAGAGTTTTGTTGCCTTTTCATTGATTGAGGATGGAGAAGAGATGTTACTTGAAAGCAGAGCTTCAGTGCTCCATTATCCTTAACAATTTGGCATTTGAACTTATACTGGATGATATATATATAGGACCTTGCTGTGTTTTGAATTTTGTCTGATTGTGTAGGTTTACCCTGAGGGGACACACCTTATGATTCCATGGTTTGAACGCCCAGTCATTTATGATGTTCGTACACGACCCCATCTGGTAGAGAGTACTTCAGGGAGCCGTGATCTCCAAATGGTAAAATTATTCTGTTTTATTTTCCCTTTTCATTTCTGTCTTAGCAAATTGGCCAATGAGATTTTTATTTTTTCAGCCTCTTAAATACTGGTTGCAGCTTCTCAACTTTGAACCTCTCCCATGCTATTCTTCAGAATTATTTGTCTCCATCTTTATCTTCAAGGCCATTGTTTGTTTCTGTCCGTTATTTAAAATTTCATTCATTCTATTATTTGCTCCTTTGGTTGCTTGAACTGATGATTGATTTGCCTTTTTACTTTCTAATCCCATACTATTCATGAATTTATGCCATCTTCAGTTTTGAACCTTCCATCCATGTGTCTATGGTAAGAAAAACCTTGCAAGTTTCTTATATTTACTCTCTCATATTGAACTGTCAACTTGTTTTGCTTTTGAAATCTTAGATATGTTCTCATTCTTTTACACATGTATTTTGTCTGTTTACTATGATTTCTTTTTTTTTTTTTTGAAGAAGCAGAGTTAGTTTCTGCTTGCAGGCCTTAAGGACAGGTTCTTATGCATGGTAGTTGCTTGTTGATTTGTGAATGATTTATTTATTTATTTTATTAATATTCCTTGTGTCCATCGCCATTCATATTTGTAATCTTTACAAACCAATTACCTCTAACCGTGGGTCTTAAATGCTGTACAGGTTAAGATTGGGCTTCGAGTTCTTACTCGTCCTGTGCCAGACCAATTACCTACAATTTATCGAAACCTTGGTGAAAATTATAATGAAAGGGTCCTCCCTTCTATCATCCATGAAACTCTGAAAGCTGTTGTTGCACAGTACAATGCTAGCCAGCTTATTACTCAGAGAGAGGTAATTAAATTCTATTGACTAAGGTTCTGATGAAAGTTCTCTCTTTCTTCAATTTGCATGCTTGGCTCATAGGACATGCTTTGATGGTGAAAATTTTATGAGTGGGCACTAGTCTTTTAGTTTCAAATATTTGTTGTCATATGTAGGCTTTTGCTTCTTGTACATGTAGTTATTTGAGAACCATATGCTTTGATTGACTCGGCTTTTGTCATGCTTCTTTTAGACAAATTAATAACATGTTCCAATTCAGAAAATAATGTGTTCATTAAAGTTCCTATTGATTCTTGACTACTTTTGCATCTGTGAAAATATTACTTTATTATCATCATCTTTGTATTGCTTCCTGCTTCCATGTGGTTGTTCAGGCATCGTTATACCTTACTTACTGCTGAGTGATCTTGGTATTTCATAGGCTGTTAGTAGAGAAATCCGGAAGATTTTGACAGAAAGAGCGGCCTACTTTAACATTGAACTTGATGATGTGTCCATTACAAGCCTGACTTTTGGGAAAGAATTTACAGCTGCAATTGAAGCAAAACAAGTGGCTGCACAAGAAGCTGAGCGGGCTAAATTCATTGTGGAAAAGGCTGAACAAGACAAGAAAAGTGCTATAATCAGAGCTGAGGTTAGTGAAAAAAATATTTAGTCCCCGAATGCTTAAAATAAGTAATCTTTTATTTTTGAGATAATAATTCTCAAGGTTGTGGACCCTTAGACCTAGGTTTTTATAAAAAATCCCTGTTCTTTATGTATTTGCTTTATTTTTTTATTGTTTGTCAACCTGTTAATTCGTAATGCCTTCCAATTATTTCTGCCTCTTTGTGGTTGACAGGGAGAAGCCAAAAGTGCCCAGCTGATAGGTCAGGCTATTGCCAACAATCCTGCCTTCATCACCCTTAGGAAGATAGAAGCTTCAAGAGAAATTGCACATACAATCTCAGCTGCAGCCAACAAGGTTTACCTGGATGCAGATGATTTGCTACTGAACCTTCAAAAGATGGAGTTAGATGTATAATCAGAGCTGAGGTTAGTGAAAAAAATATTTAGTCCCCGAATGCTTAAAATAAGTAATCTTTTATTTTTGAGATAATAATTCTCAAGGTTGTGGACCCTTAGACCTAGGTTTTTATAAAAAATCCCTGTTCTTTATGTATTTGCTTTATTTTTTTATTGTTTGTCAACCTGTTAATTCGTAATGCCTTCCAATTATTTCTGCCTCTTTGTGGTTGACAGGGAGAAGCCAAAAGTGCCCAGCTGATAGGTCAGGCTATTGCCAACAATCCTGCCTTCATCACCCTTAGGAAGATAGAAGCTTCAAGAGAAATTGCACATACAATCTCAGCTGCAGCCAACAAGGTTTACCTGGATGCAGATGATTTGCTACTGAACCTTCAAAAGATGGAGTTAGATGTTCAGGGTAAGAAGTAGGTTGTCTGTTTCTCTCTCTCAACTCGGTTTTTGTTTACGAGTAGTCAATTGGAAATATTTCCTGGGAACTTGGTGCAAAAGGTAAATGGGGAAAAATTTTTTACTAGCTTTATCTCACTTTTGGTGGATGTTATAAATCAGGAGAGATTAAGTATGAGTTGACAATCATCATGAATGGAAGCAGAGTCTCAACTCATTGTGATTTTTTAGTCTAAGTGCAACATCAGTTGGATGCATGTTTTAAAACTCATATGGTTATAATATTTTCATCTCAATAACATCAATTTACGGTAGTTTCATTATATTTGAGTTCACTCATTGATCACTGGATTTTATTTCATGCCTGGTCTTGATTTGTTTTAACAAATATATAGCAACTGGTAAGTTTTGGTGGATGTTTTTTCAATCCTGTTCGTAACATAGATTATGTAAATAGTTTCATGCAACTGCTTCATTAATACTCTGTTTGGAAAATGGAGGAAGGAAAATAATGAAGGATTGTACTATTTATTTTCTTTTGTTATTTTCCATTTTATGTTTGGATTGAAGGAAAATAAAAGGGTGGAAAGAAATGACATTATCAAGAATTTTACCCTTATTATTAAACAAAATATATTAATTTAAAAGGGAGCATTTTTTTTTTTCAAAAGATGCAAATATGTCATTTTTTTACTAGTTATCAAATTTTTGCTAAGCAAATGTGTCCGTCAAAGGACATTGATTTCATTTGATTGCTAAAGTTGTTGGGGAGTTGTCATTATGTCTGTACTTCGCTTTTTATGGCTTCCTTGGAAGATTTTTTTTTTTTTTTGAACTGAATATATTCATTAAAGCCAAGGCCAAAAAAGATTACAGGGAATCAGCAACCAAAAGGGTACATAAAGCAGATGGGGCATTAACCACCCAATTAAGAGGAAGTGTACCACAGACAAGATTTTGCAATCCAATCAGCAGGTTGGTTTGCTAATCGTCCCACCCACTGAAGACAGGAGGGAAGATTATGCAAACCCAACACAATGGATTGTACACAAGAACTAATTTCCCAAAAAACACAGCTAGGATTGGTCACTGCTTTCAGAAGAAGCTCTGAATCTGTCTCAAAAATCACATTCTCAGCATTTATGCTGTTTGCTAAATTGATTGCTTACGACAGGGCATACGCTTCTCCTACCAAAGCTGAAGAACATGGCTTTCTACAAGAGAGGCCATCTATCAACTCACCTTTATCGTTCCTGCAGATTATAGCAATTCCAGCAACTTGGGTGCTATCTTTAAAAGCAGCATCCACATTAAATTTCAAAAATCCGAAAGGAGGTGGATTCCAGGTGTTCCTAGGATTTGCCGCATTGTTTTGGGGTAAAAGAGTGGCTGAAACAAAAGGAGCTGTTCTTGCTTCCTGAATCATTTTAGTAGCTCTAGCAATTGTGGTGAGGGGGTTAGGTTGTTCTTGCCTAAAGTATGCTGCATTCCTAGTCTTCCAAATTTGCCAACATAGAGCAACAGTATTAGGAATCAGGTCCTCATTGCCTTGGTTGTAGAAAGTATCCATAATAACCTCAAACCACCTGCTAAACGGTTGAGCAATAGGATTTGATGGGGAGTAGTATAAGGCACTAGCAAACCAAGTTGCCCGAGCTTGAGGACAAGACAATAGGATATGCTCCGCTGTTTCCTCTTCAATACAACAAATTTTGGGCACAAAGGAGAAGGAATTATGCCCCTGCGACATAAATTAGCACAAGAAGCCAAAGAGTTCCTAGTTGCCTTCCATATAAAAATTCTCAGCTTAGGCTGGATAGGAATTTTCCAAAGAAGTCTGCAAAAGGAATCTGCCACTTGTAGGTTAGCTGAGGGTCGTTGCATCTGGTTTTGATTATGCAAGATAAGCTGATGATAAATAGATTGGATCCTCCATTTTTGCTTTACTGCATATTTTTAAACATGATAAACGTAATTTGAGAGTGGACCATCTTACTTTAAAATACTATTATTTTATCCTTATCTTAAATTAATTTATTAAAATATGAATGGACTAATTTAATTATAGAACTCATAAAAAAAAATAATAATAATACGAACTGATATAGTACTTGTTAGGCTCCGACCCATCTATTATGACCATTAATTTCTCAGCTGCAATTATGCTGGTAGCCAAAAGCAGGTGGACAAAGGCGGAGACAAAATCAAAGTACAAGGTTGTTAGACAAATTAATGCAACACCGAACGGATTGGAGCTTGACAATAGAGTTTTTAACTTGTTGAGACAAAAGATGATGTCTCAATTTTGGTTTTTACAATAACAACAAATAGAAATTGCTTAGACATGCATAACCTCATTGATCACTATATTTCAGAATTTAATGTCTTAATTTTGATTTTTGTATGAATATCTGAATTCAATATATACATTAAAATAATTTATTTCTAAATTATTTAATTAAACAAAATATAAGGAAATAACTATTTTTAGATTATAGAATAATTACTTTCAAATTTTATTATACAAAACTAAAGTATATTTCATAAAAAATTAGACTATTTAGTTATAATTTTATTAATTAGCATCATGGGGTCACATGGAAATTCCTTAAAAAATCTCCAATGCAAATATGAATTGCCTTTATTCAATTGCCACATCAGAAAAATGGAAAGACTTTTTGAAAAATGTTCTCCAGTGCTAGTATCTATTTAGGATATTAAGCTGATGTGTAAAAAAAAAATCAATAGACATTGTCTACTACACTTTTTAATTATTTCTAGAGGGTTTCTTAGATAATGTTAACATTTATTGCTCTTTGATGATTTGTTGCATGTTAAATTATAGGACTAGAAAAGAGAAAAAAAAGAGAACGGAAGAAGATTCAAAACTAATACATTAGAGAAAGTTTTTTAAAATTCATTGTCTATAAATAGACATTCAACCAAATCATTATTCACACCTCTTATTTCACATGACACATCAGCCACAATCCAATATTAGCATTGGAGATGGTCTTACCGCTGAATTATGTTGCAATTAATGAAAACATTCTCTAATGTACAATTTTATTAAAGCTGGGGGATAAATGTATCTAATGCTTATAAAATGGTTAAAGAAAAAGTATTCTACATATATATACAAGTTCCATTAAATGTATTATTAGTGTTATTGAATCACAAGTTCCATTAGATGACTCACAAGCTATGCCTTTGCTCAAAGATGTCTTTCTTCCTATCAACCCACGTTTCTCTTCTATCATGGTAATGCATCTCTCTTCCTCTCTCTCTCTGTCCCTACACACACACACACACACATATATATATGTGTGTTAATGACTCACAAAGCTATGGCCTTTGCTCAAAGCATGTGTCTTTTCCTTCCTATCAACCACGTTTTCTCTTCTATCATGGTAAATGCATCTCTCTTCCTCTCTCTCTCTGTCCCCCCTAACACACACACACACACATATATATAATGTACACACATATATATATGTGTGTGTGTGTGTATTTGTATATATGTATAGATGTATCTATGTATGTATAGTGCAATAACAACTAAAATTTGGTAATGAACATAATAGTTAATTGTATTTATATTTATATAGGAGTAAGTAACATATTAACATGCAATATATGTTTAATTTAACAGGTAAAAGATAAAAATGGAGAAAAGAAATGGAAGAAAGTAGAAGTGAAGCTCAAAGACCACATGAAAGTGCCCATTTTCCCAACTGGAATGTCAGAAAAGTTCTACAGCAACTGCCTTGATGATTATTTACCAAATTTAGCAATGGAACAGTTACCCCAGAATCAACCCTTATAGGAAGTTCACATAATAGAATACCCAACTAGTTTTGAAGTAGGTGGTAATATAGTCTTTAAGCTTCACCACTCTCTTGGTGATGGCTTCTCCTTAATGGGAGCTCTTCTTTCTTGCTTACAAAGAGCTGATAATCCTTCGATTCCTTTGACTTTTCCTTCTGTTCAATTGCACACTAAAAATAACAACATGGAAAGCAAGAAGAAAAGTATATAAATCGACCCTTATAAATAGAGAAAATCGGATTTGGAAAAGTTTCCCCTTATAAGCCTGAGGCAATTGAATCATTTTTGCATTACTGTTATTTTTAAACATGATAAATGTAATTGGAGAGTCCACCATCTTACTTTAAAATAATTTTATTTTATCTTATCTTAAATTAATTTATTAAAATATGAATGGACTAATTTAATTATAGAACTCAAAACAAAAATCAAGAAATAATAACAAATTTGATAAAAAAACACTAATAATTGATATAATTGTTAGGCTCCGAATCATCATTATGACTATTAATTTGTCAGCTGCACTTATGCTGGTAGCTAACAGCAGGTAGACAAAGGTGGATACAAAATTAATATACAGTGTTGTTATTGGGATTGCAAGGCCAACGTGCATCCATAAATCATTGAAGAACTCAAGTCACAATCTCAAATCTTTATAGCTAACCGTCCTGTTGAAGGAAAAATTTATGGTTGTCTAGGGGGAAAAAATCTATAAATTTGGTCATGTTCTCCTTCAGAATTAGGTTTTTGTTTTCTTTAGTTGAAGAAAAAAGAAAACTGTAGAATTAATGGAGATAGAGCAAGAAGTAGTCTTTAGTTGAAGAAAAAAGAAAACTGTAGGATTAATGGAGATAGAGCAAGAAGTAGGACTAGAACCTGTAAGTCCAACAGGACAATATTTGAGCAACTCTGTTCTATCACTTTGTATTATTAGTGTTATTGAATCACAAGTTCCATTAGATTTACATGAGTCGAGTGCAATACAATTGCTCAAAGATGTATTCCTTCCCATCAACCCACGTTTCTCTTCTGTTATGGTAATGTATCTCTCTCTCTCTCTCTCTCTCTCTCTATATATATATATATAGTGCAATGACAACTAAATTTTGGTAATAACATAACAGTTAATTGTATTTATAACAGGTAAAAGATACAAATGGAGAAAAGCGATGGAAGAAAGTAGAAGTGAATCTCAAAGACCACTTAAAAGTGCCCATATTCCCAACTGGAATGTCAGAAAGGAATGTCAGAAAAGTTCTACAGCAATTGCCTTGATGTTTATTTATCAAATTTAGCAATGGAACAGTTACCCCAGAATCAACCTTTATGGGAAGTTCACATGATAAAATACCCAACTAGCTCTGAAGTAGCTGGTAATATAATCTTTAAGCTCCACCACTCTCTTGGAGATGGCTTCTCTTTAATGGGAGCTCTTCTTTCTTGCTTACAAAGAGCTGACAATCCTTCAATTCCCTTGACTTTTCCTTCTGTTCAATTGCACACTAAAAATGGTAATATGGAGGGCAAAAAGAAAAGAATACGGAAGAGTTTTCTTGGAATATTTTCTTCAATATTGAATACTATTTCAGATTTTTGTTCAAGTTGTTAAAGTTACAGCTACAGCTATTGATGCAAGTGTTGTTGACAATTTTTGGAGGTATTTTGTTAAAGTCATTTAGATTTTGTTGTATTTTGTTGTTGTATTTTTGTTGGAAGTCAAGAGGTAGGTGAACTACCTGCTTTAGGTAGGTTTTTGTGAAGAACCTTCCCTTGCTTACTGAAGGTATGGTAACAAACTTTAAACTAGCTCTATTATAAATGTTTACATATGGGACTGTATGGAATTGAATAGAATTAATTGTTTCTTCATAATCACAAAATACTGCAGCTTTTTCTTTTTCTGCAGACATTTTCCCCTTCTCTTCCTTAATTTTCTGCTCTTTTAAACCACAAGTGGTATCAGAAGCAACCTTGATGCTCAAAGGGCTGCTGTGTGGTTTTGGAGTGAAATGTCATAGAAGAAAGCCACCAATAAACCAGAATTTGTTGAGTTATTTTCTGTTTATTGCTTTTTCCTCAAGATGGCTTTCCAGCAGCGATGTCTCCTTTCACCACAGCTATTTTAATGGGGAAACTATCATGTTTTGGGCTGTGAAGAATGAAGAGCTATATTTCAAGGGGGCTTGCATTATGCCGATATGTGTGAGGGAAAACAGAGAGTTACCCACACTCTTAATCAAAATCCAACCCTTCAGCAGATTGCACAACATGAAGAAGAAGGTTGCTAAGGCTCCAAGCTCTGGTCTAGTATCCATGCCGAGCTGTTGCAGATCTCATCTTTTCACAGATTATGACATGTGAGGGCACATGAGCTGGGGAGAAGTTGAAAAATTGAGTATCATGGATCTGAAAAACTAACAGATGCAGATATTCAATTTATATAGATTATATTGGAATGAGGAAAATGATGTGTGGATTATGTTGATAGAGTTATGAAAACTTGTAAACAAATTCCGATGTTTGGAAGAAGAGTTAGAAGAGAAGAGATTGTTGGAGAAGTTATGGTGACTCTCCTGAAATTTTG